GATCAAAATTATAAGGGGGATCTTGAAAGATTTATACATTTTTTTCAATATTCGCGGTAAATTTCGGGTCGATATAATTTTTAATAAAGGATATGCAGATTTTCCTATTTCTAATACACATATTGTTCATATCTTCATAAAAGTATAGGTAACGTTTAAGTGCTTCACAAAACATTGAACATGCAGATTTAACAAATGTGGTGATGTTTTTGGTTTTTGTCTTTGTCAAGAGGTCAATTTCACTAGGTTTTGTATTTCCCATTATTCAAACCAAACATGCACATATAATATTGAACATGGAATGATAACTGTATGCTCAGAAAGCTATAGGGCTATAGATCAAAGAGAAATTGATAGTGTTGTCTTTAAATATCTGCTGAAATGATTTGTTTTGACAAAATTCTTAACCTGCTTAGTACTCCCGTGGAAGCATTTCCTGGTGTTATGCTACTTGAACAAACAATTTGAAGGTCTCAATTCACTTGAATATCCACTGAACACAAATAACAGATTTGAGGTTGATAAAACTTTATACATACTACGGTGATAATCATGGATGTTAATTTGATCTATAGTCCTAATCATTATATGCTACAATATTAGTTATGATTTATAAAAGTTAAAGATGATTTTCAATATAGATTCACTTAAAGTTTCTTCAAGTTCATATATCTATAAATCCAATCAATCATTTATTCAATTTAAACATTAGACATTTGGAAAATTTATCTATAGGACTTTTTAACCAAAATGTAGATGATATCTAATCTTTATGTATAGTACTATACATGGTCATGATATTAAACTGATAAATTATAAAACTATCCTAAAGTTACTGATTAGTATCTTCATTTTTACCACCATTGGATTTCCCTTCAAATGTATTAATCGAGATAGAACGGATCGAATGAAATTAAGATTTAAGAAAACTATAGTATTGCAAACGGATCGTACAAATCTTTTATATAATAAACTTCATTTGAAATTTTAAACTTTTGACTTTGTGGTTGACTTTGTAAAAACTAGCTATGGTACACCTAGCGGCTAATTCGTATATTGCATGACTTAATTAATCACAGCGCTTAATTCAAATTTACTATACTAGTTCTCTATACTTGAAGTTATTATACCTATATATGAATTTATAGAACAGAACAGAGGATGTGGTATCTACAATCTACAATATTGAAAGCAATATATATCAAAATGGAAATTGATCTTTTTATAGAAATTGAATTGTAGCTGGGAACAAGAACAAAATCTATAAGTTTTGATCAACATTTATTGAATTGAATGCAATGATCAGTATCAACAAAGTTCATTGAATAATCATTAACTTAATCAAAAAACTTAACGATGACTGTATCTCAAAGATTTAAAACGTCAGCAGTACCTGAACTGTTCTGAAAAACATTATTGTAGAGAAACAAGAAAAGATCTGAACCTTTTTACATTAATAACTTTTTCAAAATAGATCAAAAACATATTCAAAATTAACCTGGTTGAGCTTGACTTCACCGCCACTCAATTAATAATGAGTTAAAAAGATCAATAACATCAATGATCGAAAGGTCCTTTAAATATAAGAACCTATTTTTCAATCATCTCATAACACCAAACAACACACTAGAAAAGTTCAGATATATCAAATTGAAATTTAAGAAAATTAAGGATTTTTCGCAGTTTAAATATGAATTTCATGGCGGCGCTAACTTAAACAAAGTAGTGTACTGTAATTAATAGCTTAGAAAAGGTAGTTTGTAAAAGGGATCAGATAAGCTGTTCTACAATCAAACAATTGAAAAGATGTAAACATGATTCTTAGTATAATGAACATTAATCAAATCCAACAAAGACTCTTCTAATGGTTCATTCATAAGTAATCAATATGTATATTAAGTTTATAACATGTAATCAAGATCTGAGTAAACAATCATTGTAACTAATTCATGAAAACTGAATTAACGATTAAATTTCAATAACCCAAGAGAATTTCATACAAATTCTAGTAAATCGTTCAAGATTAAAGGCTGCAACAAAGAATTGTACGTTGATCATATCACCATCGAACATAGCAGAAACCATTATCAACTATAATTAACAAAGAAATGTATTGCCAATATACCGCTTGTAGATACTTAGACATATTCAAGCTTATATATAAGTATATCTCTATTTCTAAAATTCTGTAATTGAGGACTTTATGAGATCTTTATATAGATTTTCTAGTGAAGTGGGGTGAAATAATTAGAATGGAGGCGCGTTATAATAAAAGCTTAATCGGATCAAATCTAGAGTCTATAAGAATACCATTATATACCATGTGCTAGATAAACATGTACTAGGATAAGATACGTCATATGTTACAATTGGAATCATTATCACGAAAATATAATTGATATTCTTGTTAATATATATAGTCTATTATTATAATTAATTGACGTATAGTTCAAACAAAAATTACAGAATCATATATACGCTAGAGTTATCATTTATATTAAAGATATAATAAAGTTTTATTGATCTGAAATATAAGTTAAATTATTGATTTTGTGTAAGTGTAATTTAACGTGTTTCACCGTACAGCGGCTAACTCGATTTAATGATATGGTAATTGATCACAGCGGTTAACTTGAATTAGTTATTAAATATTATATATTATAATTAAGTGGTCAATACTAACCAAAGATCAGAAGTTTTATTGTGATCTTGTCTACATATAGTTTAACAAAATATCAAAATGAGAAATAATCTTCATATAGATTGAATTGTAGCTTGTGAACAAAAACAATATCTATAACGTTGATCAACATTTATTGAATTATATATAATTCATGATGATTAATATCAACAGAATTTCCAATTGAATGACTCAATCAATATCTAATAATGAACTATACTTAAGCTCAACATTTGGAACGTCTATCAATCAAAAATGAACAACAACCTAAATTTATAAAATGAACGCATTCAACCAAGCTCATATCATCTTGTTGGTCCGGTTAAAACATGGTGTGTGTACTTAGCCAAAGCACTAATAATGTGATCAAAAAGCACGAGATGTAAGTAACAGATGAATTAGAAACAAAGTTCGGTATGGTATTGGTTAATTGAAGTTTTGAGGAAAAGTAAGGATTCTGTAGGGTTTAAATAGATTTTCAAATTTATTTTCAGGGCGGCTAATTCACGGGTTAATAGTAAACCGAAGATTAACAAGCTGTATATAAGTTCTACAATTAAACAACTGATTAAATGGAAACATGATAATTGTATAATGAACATTATGATCAAATGAGATCTCTCTAATGATTCATTTATAAATAATCAATGTACGTATATTAAGTTAATTATAAATCCTAATTTGATGAATGAACAATCATTATCTGTAACTCAAATCCAACGAAAGTCATCTAATGAATGTATTCAATGCTTCTGCAGTAGAATCATGAAATCAGTTTCAAGTTATACACAACACTCTTAGTACAAAATTGAAGCTGTGGCTTGATTATCAGAATGTATTTGTTTAAAGTATTTGGATTATTCTTCAATAGATCACAATATGGTTAAAAATTCATGTTATATAGTATCTGGAACTCAGAGAGAATTTTAAATTGTACCGGATTTTTTGAGATCTTTATATAGTTTTTTTTGTAAGTGGGGTGATTAAATTAAGGTTGGCGTCTATAAAGCTTAAACGGTTCAAATTATATTATAGATAATGATCTAGTACCAAGATGGATTACAATTTAAACCATTATCAAAGATATAATTGATCTTGTATATAGAATGTTTTGTAGGTTTAAACAAAAACAGAATCCTATATATTCAATCAACATTTATTATTATAATACACTTGTAAACTAGAATGATCACAAACCATAGTGATCATATAATCAATTCATTAATTTCAATCATATAATAGTATGGAGAAAACTACCAGTTGGTGAGTATGAAAGCCCTTTGTTGCATAATGTTGATTGGATATTAATGAATATCTTGAAGAATTTCTTAACGACTGATCTTTGCTCAAGACTTACTTGAAGCTGTCAAAGATGATCAACGATTAGCCATTTCACCTGCGTTCTTAGTATCAGATAAACACAACACTTAGAGTCCGGTCAAGGATTTTAGAAATATCAACCCATTGATGCTGTTCAGAATTCAGTGAACGTCGAAACAAAGATCATTGCCGGTATATTTTTTTTTTAAAACTCGCGAACTAAAGGGGCGATCACAGGATGACAGTACACAGTAACACAACTAATTAATCAATGTGATGGTAGATTATATATGTAACTAGTAGTGATTGTAAATAATATTGATAAAATTGGTCTTAATGTATAAGTAGAGTTATATAGACTAATTATATTGGATATATTCAAGCTACATTACGTCTGTATTATTGAAAAAAAAGATTTAATGAAAATGTATTAATATAGAATAATCTAACATGTATGAAAACATCTGATAATCATCTATAAGAAACAAATTATTCATGTTGATTTGATTTGTGGTTTTAATCAATGCTGATATCAACAATATATGATATCTTTAATCAATGTGATATACCACATACCACATATATTATTTCATTTGAATTAAAGCATTGTATAAAGTTAATTATATCAATATATTCAGCTTATTAGACAAAGAACTGAGGTTCATAAAAATAGATCAACACACGTCGTCACCTCGATAATTTATTCATCCCAAATATAAAATAATAGTAGGTCTTCCAGAACTATCAAGTTTCATAATATTCGAATAGTTTATACAAGAGAGATCAGGAAAATTCTAAAAAATTATGAATATTTTTATTTTATACGAAGTCGGAATTGTTTCATTCCAGGCACGTGAAATTCACATGACAAAATTTCTAACCCTCGAATTTCATAAAAATCACCAAATTGTCAAAAGAATCTCAAAGTTACACGTCTCTTTAAAAGATATGGTATAAGTTAGGTATAGCTTAAGATTCCAATTGAACATTTTCTCAAATAATGCAATTCCAATCTTTAATATCATTCATCATATTAGCTGTGCTGGGTTCAGCTTATCAAATCTCAAATGGATTAACTAAATATAATAATAAAGAATTAACATTTTCCCAAAATGAACCATCATTAGAATCAATTATCTTGAATGAAACAAATTCCAAGGTTGAATTAAATTTCCAAATCTTAGGTAATGAACAACCTGAACAACTTTCAATTAGATTGAAAAACTCAGAAAATGTTGAAACTTCATATAAACCAATTTTAAAATCAATTGGAGATGGGAAATTTAATGCAAAATTATTGATTTCATTTGATTCATTACCTTCATTATTTCAAATTTCTTCAAAATTATCAATTGATCTTTTGGTTGGTAGTCGTAAAGACTCTAATCCAATTTTTTCCAAGATTGGTGATATTGAATTAACAAATGAATTAATTTCTAAAAATTTTGGTAATTATGAAAAACCTCAAAGATTTGAATCATTACCTGAAATTAATCATATTTTCCAACAACCTCCAAAAACAGTTAATCCTCAAATTGCATTAACTTTCAGTACAGGTTCTATTTTAGTCCTTGGTGGATTGATTTTAGTTTGGGGTGGTCAAGGTTTAATCAATTTTAAAAATTTCCCATCAGGTTTAGATTTAATTTATTCCATAGTTTTCATTGGATTAATTTCAAGTTTTGAAATTGTTTTTTTCCAATATTATTATGGTTCAACAATTTTTCAAACTATTGGTAAATCAACAATTTTATTAGGTCCAACTTTATTTTTTGGTTCAAAAGTTTTAAATTATGTTGGAAAATTAAGATTAGCTGGAAAGCGTTAAATTCTCCTTGTATAGACTACAAAATTGATAAAAGATTTATACATTTATAAAATTTATATGAATACTAGGATCAGAAGAAATCATCTTCAAAATCTTCTTGTAATGCATTAATTAATTCATTTTCATCATCTTGAGATTCATTTTTATTTGAAATTTCAGTTCTATTTGAACTTGGTGGATATCTCATTGCTTTAATACTATCATTATGTAAAGAATTAACAAAATTAATTCTTTGATTAAATTGATCTTGTGGTTGATTTGTTGAATAAATATTTTTAATTTCATTACTTTCAACATAACCTTTTTGATGATTAATTTTAGCATCAATAACTCCATCTCTTATTGATTTTGATACAATATATTCTGCTGATGATTCATTATCTAAATGTAATTTAATACATATATCTTTTAATGAAATCTTAGTATAAGATAATGAAATGATTCTAATACCTGTTTTAATAACATTTGATCTTAATCTTGTAACTAAACTATAATTATCATCTTTAATTAATAAATCATGATATTTTGTCAAAGTTTCATTAAAAATTTTCAAATCACCTAATTTAACAGCTTTTGTTATATCTTGATATGGTTTTAAAACTTTTTCAAAACCTGGTTTTTGGAAAAATGATAATTCTGGAATATCACCAGTTAATAATTCAATTAAAACATTTAATTTATATGCAGAAGTTAAAAATCCAATTGCATTTGTAGTTTGTGGAGCTTTTCTAATTGCTGTAGTAACAAAATCATGAGAATCTGAATAATTTAATTGAATTGAATTTATTTTGGCTAAATAAAAATAATATCTTGTTTCAATTGAATTTGAAACTTGTTTTGGTAATTCAATTTTTTCAATAAAATTTGAAGCTTGAGAATAATCATGAACCAAAATATAATTTCTTAATATTAAAGTTATTAAAGAACCTGAAGTTTCATCATCATGTCTTATGGTGGAAATTCTTAATGCTAATAATAATTCAGATCTAATTGAAATTAAATCATTTAATAATTCTTTTGTTCTTGAAATATAAAACCAAATTTTTGCATTAATTAAATCTAATGAACGTCTATTATGTAATTTAATCAATTTCAAGATATATTCAACATTTAATTCATCTAATTTTGATAATTCCCCCTTATCTAACAAATAAAATTGTACTAATAAATGAATTAAGAAATTAATTTCTGGTAAAATTTCACCTTCAAATTGATTTAATTCATCATTTGTTTCCAATTTACCATCAATAAATTTTAAAAGATAATTTTGATAATCATCATCAAGATATTTATTAATTAAATATTGTAAAACATCAAGATTTAATTGTTTTCTAATTGATACTAAATCTCTTAATGTTTTAAAGATATAACGTTGATCAAAAGTTTGAACAGTTTTAGAAACCAATTGGAAACCATTTTCAATTTTGGCAATTGTTAATCTGTTGACCTCTTCCGGAGTAGGTTCATTATCAATAACTATTTGTTCTTCTTGTGTCATATTTTTGGGATTGAATTGAATTGAATTGAGTTGAAGTAAATTGAAGTAAATTGAATTGAATTGTTGTGGTTTTTTGTTTTCTTTGGTGGCGAAATTCAATCGAAATCAAGAAAATTCGCGAACAAAAATATTGAGATCTTGATTATGTAATACACAAATAATCAAAGATATACTAATATTTGAATAACTCAACAATTAATGGTTTAGGTGACTTATAAATAAGTTTAGTAGGATCCTGACGGCTGTTTATACCATCATATGCTTTTTTTGTCTAAAAAACTCTTTGAATAGAGCCTAAATATGTATGATGTATTCAAATCTGCCATTCAATTGTAAGTGAAACATCGGGTCAATAACCATAGGTATAAACTATCCATTACAATAAATTTCATAAAATCAAGTATTATTATTAAATTAGCTATTTATAAGTATATGTATGTGTAGATGAGATTATAATGATCCTTCTGCTTGAGCTTTTTCCTTTTTTCTACCTTCTCTCCATTTCAAGAAAACTCTTGCAATTGGATCATTAGTTTTTGCATCAATATATTCACCATCTTTTAAATCATTTTGAGCTTGTTCATCAGTTAATTCAGGATCTCTTAGAGCAAAAGCACAACCAAGCATAACAGCACAGAAAACTAATGCAATTAAAACTTCCATTTTTTGAATATATCTATAACTTTCAATTAATGAATTACGAATATCTGAACCATATTTATATTCTTTAACAAATTTATATGGTGATTTATATGCAAATTTAGCTAAAGTTGCATTACCATATTGTTCAAAATCTTTTTCTAATCTACCTGGTAATAAATTTGTCCAAACGGCACCTGAAACAGCACTTGCAACAGCTGAACCAATTCTGAAAACAGTTAATAATAATGAAATAACACTAGCCATATGTTCATGAGATGTTGAAGCTTGAACAGTTAATGAAACTGAACCGGTATATAAACACATACCAAGACCAATAACAACTAATCCACCAATAACACCGTTTTTAGAATATTCATAACCTCTAAAATGATACATTAAACCTAAACCAACCATATATAATGAAATACCACTAAGGATAAACATTTTTAAACGACGAACATAAGCAACAACAACACCAAAGAATGGAGTCCCCACAACTGAAACAAATGATGGTAAAATATTAATTCTTGTAGCAGATTTAACTGATTGATTCATTGCAATGATTAAAACAGTATATAAATAACCTTTATACATGGTACCAATGAAATATAACAAGAATTGAATACACATAGCAGACCAAACACCACGATCTTTAACTAATTTATAAGCAGCTAATGGATAACGAGCAATATAAGATTCATAAAGACCAAAAATTGGAATCAAGACAACCCCTAAAACTAAAGGACCAATAATTTCACCTTTTGCCCATTTAGATTTAGCACCACCTGCAAGAGTTAAAGGAACCAAGATACAACCAAGCATCACTGTTAAAATTAAAATACCAGTGATATCAGTTCTCCAATATAATTCTTTTAAGAAACTCCAAAGACCTTTTGATTGATAATGAGTCTTTTGTCTCTTTAAAGCCTTCCATTCAGGTGTTTTACCAGCTTTTAATCTCATATGTAATATGACAAAGATTAATGGTAATGAAGCAACAGGGAAAATAATTGCCCACATACCAATCCCCCATGACCAATTCTTGTCTGGTCCAACAGCACTTGAAACATCACCAGAGATCCATGTATTAATAACAAATGGTAATGTAACTGAACATTTATAAAAAGTTCTCCATCTTAATGAAGAAAAATCTGAAATGATAATTGTAACAATCAAGATAACACCAACATAACCCAAGTTATAAAAAATGGAACCTGCACAAAATCTTTGAATATCATAAGCTTGAGATTGAATAACAGTACCAGCAGCATAAAGAACAACAGAGGCGATTAAGATTTCTAATCTACCAAAAACATCAGATAATCTTGCAAGAGCCATTTGTGAAGCAGCACCAACAACAGCGTTAATAACACCCACAGTGGCAATTAAAGAATGTTGACCATAATCACTTGATGCATAACCAGTATAAACATAACGAATATTTGAATCTAAACCATAACCATAACCAATTAAGAAACAACTAAAGAATAATATAGCTTTTTGTAATTTTGAATCACATTGTTTAAATAAAATTTCAGTTTTCTTGATAACAATTGATTTTGTATGAGCATAAGAATCTAAGATTGAATCATCAATATCTTCTTCATCATCTTTTGAAATGGCATCTTTATCAGATAATGAATTTTGTTTTAATTCAACATCATCAGAATGAACTGGATTCAATTCATGAACATTATCTTCAACAACTTTCTTTGTAGACATTGTTGTTTTTGTCTAATAGATTGAATTGATAATAAAGATCAAGACGGGTATAAAACATAGCTGATCAAAACCAGGATTCTTTGTTCTTTATATACTCCCTTGAGAATCAAACCCTTAATGATATCGTATATAACCACATGAAAGGGATTTACAACTGTATCAAGATGTAAGCATTCCTTTATTCTTTCAAGTTTCTTTTCCTTGGTTTTCTTTAATTCCAACCATTCATAACCGTTTAAACCAATACATTGCATGGAAATTAGCTGAACAGACAACAAATTAAATTACAATCCATAACCTCCGCAAGATACCAAGACTTTATTGAATAAAAGGCATCTAGTATTGCATGTTGTTTAATCGATTCCATCAATTACGATTGAATTTTGTATGCATGGCTGTTCTAATCAAGTAAATTTTTTTGTTAAACGCAAATCTTTTTGCTGAAAATTTTCAAAGTACGGAAATTTAATTAAGCTTAATATTTATCACCGCTTTAAAAGAACCGTTAAGAAGAGCAACTGTATTGGAAACATGGTCTTTAAGAACAAAGAGGTATTCAAGTAGACACGGATTGGAATGTAGTAGTCCATACTTAGTAAATATCTTTTCAAGTGTAGAAATCCCTTAGGTATAGAAGGTCTCAAAGTCTCCAAAGCATCTAGATTCAAAGGCATTTATACCCATTACTCAACGGTGATATAAAAAGAAACATGGTCATTACTGAACTACTGAACAGCCAAGTTCAATTAACTAGTATTACTGTTTTAATGTTTTAATAATCGTATGAATTTGGGTGTTTCAAGATAATTACTGTCTAAGGCCACTGGGGGTAAGTCTTGACTGTACTAATCTTTGGTATTTTTAACAGTGGACCCTGGTGAACCCTGGTGAACCCTTACACTAGCCACTCTCTTTAGGACCTCCGACCCATAATATACTCAAGTCTCATACTCTCAATCACCGAAACAGCTCTTAGGCACAGCAGCTCATGATGCTTAGGAATATGCTCACTAGCTGCTTAATTGAATTTAAAACCGTTGAGTGTTTTGTTCTTTTGCGGATGTTTAATGCACCGTTGTTATGATGGATATTTGTGGGATTCGATTAAATTTGAGTTTTGAACATTGGAATTACCCTTTTGGGGTTTGTATTACGTCTTTGCATATATAATACTATAAAATTAATCAAAGAATAATCTTGGAAACAATAGTTCAAAGACCCTTGGACCAATAAACAGTGGAATAATTCATATTATATATTAAAAAAAGCTTAAATATGGTGTATAAAGAAGTACCTCAATTGTCTTGGTACAGCTCACTTAACTGGTTTATCTTTCTTTATCCATTTCAATATCAAATCTGCAATTGGATCACTACTTTTAGTATTAATCAATTCATCATCACTTAAATCATTTTGTGCTTGTTCATCAATTAATTCAGGATCTCTTAATAAAAAGGCAAATATTAACATTAATGAACAAAATATCAAAGCTATAGTAATTTCCATCTTTTGAATATATCTATAACTTTCAATCATTGCCATTCTAATTTGTGAACCATATGGATATTCCACAATAAATTCATATGGTGAAAAATATGCAAATGTTGATAATGTTGAATTCCCAAATTTTGATAAATCAGATTCTAATCTCTTAGGTAATAAATTTGACCAAATAGCTCCAGAGACTGCACTACCACATCCTGAACCAATTCTGAAAACTGTATATAATAATGAAATAACCGTAGCCATATTATCATGATTTGTTGATGCTTGAACAGTTAATGAAACAGGTCCAGTATACATAGTCATACCAATTCCCATAACAACCATTGCACCAATAACTCCATTCTTGGAAGATTCATAACCTCTAAAATGATATAATAAACCTAATCCTGTTAAAAATAATGAAATACCACACAAGATAAACAATTTTAAACGACGAACATATGCAACAATAACACCAAATAATGGTGACCAAACAACAGAGACAAATGATGATATAATGGCAATTCTTGTTGCTGATTTAATTGATTGATTCATTGCAACAACTAGTACTGTATATAAATAACCACCATATATGGATCCCATAAAATTTAACAAAAAAGTTATAATTAATGCTGACCAAACTCCACGATCTTTAATTAATTTATATGATGCCATTGGATAACGTGCAATATATGTTTCATATGCACCAAATATTGGAATTAAGACGACACCAAGAACTAAAGGACCAATAATTTCACCTTGGGCCCATTTTGATGTAACACCACCTGCAACTGTTAAAGGAACCAATATACAACCTAACAAAACAGTTAATAACAAGATACCCATAATATCTAATCTCCAATATAATTCAATTAAAAAACTCCAAATCCCATGTGATTGATAAAATGTCTTTTGTTGTTTAACAATTTTCCATTCTTTTGTTTTACCAGCTTTTAATCTCATATGTAAAATACACAAAACAAATGGTAATGCAGATAATGGGAATATAAAAGCCCACATACCAATCCCCCATGACCAATTTTCTAAAGGGTTAACAGCTTCAGTTATATCCCCTGAGATCCATGTATTAATAATAAATGGTAATGTTGTGGTACATTGATACAAAGATCTCCATCTTAAAGTGGAAAAATCTGCAATGATTAAAGTAACAACTAATAACACACCAACATAACCCAAATTATAAAAAACTGAACCTGCACAAAATCTTTGAATATCATAAGCTTGTGATTGTATAATCGTACCCATTGTATAAAAAACAATTGAAACAATTAATAATTCTAAACGACCAAATACATCTGATAATCTGGCAATAACTAATTGTGAAGCACCTCCAATAACTGCATTAATAACACCCACGGTGGAGATTAATGAATGAGTACCATATGCACTTTGAGCATATCCTGTATAAACATAACGAATGTTGGAATCAAGACCATATCCATAACCGATTAAAAAAGCACTGAATAATAATAAACTTCTATACCAAATTGAATTATATTGTTTTGCTAAGATCTCAGTTTTTTTCAAGACAATAGACTTTGTTCCTGAATATTCATCAAGGATTTTTTCAATTGATTCTTTATCTTCATGGCTTTGGACATCATGAGATGCTAATTTTTCAATATCATCATCTTGTGAATATTGCTTGTTTAATTCATTTGAAGTTATTTCATGAATTGTATTTTTTATTGGGTCAGTTTTATCATTTGATGTTGAAGTCATGTTGATCAAATTGATAATCTTGATTATCTAAAAAATCTAATGTATTTAAGCTTAATCAGATCCACAGAGAACTAAAGTTATATTTATATGAAATATTCTTGGGGTTTACTTTTGAAAGTTTTCAGCTGATTAAGGGTCTTAAACTAACGTTGGTTGCATTGGAATATACAGTTGCATAACCAGAAACCCGTTTGGAACAAATCATGATACTTCAAACCAAATAAGAGATGTCCACCCTTGTTTCTTTTGAACTGATAAACCATAATCATTTAATCAATGATCAACAGCAATAGGATCAATGTATCTAGTCTAGCATGTAATTAATAACAGGCAATGTCTATCACTTGAGTACTGAAAGACCCTCAGATGCGTGATTATAGGGTTTTCAATCTTCACATGGATCTAGTCAATATGAACCCACAATTAAGAACTCATCTCTAATGAATCTTATTCGTTCAACAATAAGCAACCACAATTAACCAATACCCAACCGTAAACTCAACCTCCAGGACTCCTAGAGCGGACCCAAACCATACCATAATCGAACAACGTCTTTCAAGTAGCAAACCTTCAAACCAAGTTAATTATTCTCATATAAAGGTATTGTTTTTGTTAAGCTACTGTAATTGAAGACAATATAAATTTCTTAATTTGGTGATAAACTCGTTCAACCCGTTTTACACGTGTAAAATTGACAGAATTTAACAAGAATTTATCAATTTATACATAATTTATTGTGTTTTTTGAAGAGTTTTAAGGGTTTAAGATCTTGGAAAAAGGGTGGAATGTTTGTTTTAGATTGTGAGAGTGGTGTTTTGAGGGAGGTAAAGCTGGTGGTTGAATTAAGTTGTTGATTGTTTTGGATATAAATCTTTGATGTGTTATACTAACGTACTAACATACACGGATTGATGTTCTGGATTTGGTAAAAAGCGATCACTGGTAATGTATAGACATTTACGAAGAAACGTTAAGAACTTACATGAATATATTACGACGATGAGACGATGTTTTCGACGATGATCTCACGGTTTTAATTAAGCTTAAATAAGGCCTTACGGTACTATAGGTGTTCATAAAAAAATCATATTCATTGAATCAATTACTTATTAACTGTACTGTATTGTATTATATATATACTTATATATCTTTTAATCAATTCTTTTTCGATCTAAATCTTTTAACAAAACCAACAATTGGATCACCACCTTTTGTATAAACTAATTCACCTTCATCTAAATTATTATGAGCTTGTTCATCAGTTAATTCTGGATCTCTTAAAAAGAATGCAAATCCAATTAAAGTTGCACAGAAAACCAAGGCAATAATAGTTTCCATTCTTTGAACTTCTTTATAAGCTTCAATAACAGCAGTTCTAATTGGTGTACCATATGGATAATCAACTATAAATTCATAAGGTTTAGCGTATGCATACGTAACTAATGTTTGATTATTATAAGGACTTAAACGTCTTGCTAATTTACCTGGTAAAGTATTTTGCCAAACTGCCCCTGAAACTGCATTACCAACTGCAGAACCAACTCTATAAGTTGTATATAAAATAGCTGTAACTGTAGCCATATTATCATGTGAAGTAACAGCTTGAACTGAAACAGTATTTGGATATGAATACATAGTATTACCAAGACCAATAACAACTAATGCACCAATAACACCATTTTTAGCATATTCATAACCTCTATAATGATATAATAAACCAAGTCCTAATAAATATAATGAACAACCTAATATAATAAAAGCTTTTAATCTTCTAACCATTTTAACTATATAAGCAAATGGTAATGACCAAACAGTTGATGTAAATGTTGAAACTGATGCAATTCTTGTTGCAGATGTAACAGATTGATTCATACCAACAATTAAAATGGTATATAAATAATCATTATACATATAAAACACAAAATCAAACATGAATGAAATTGCAATTGCAGCCCAAACACCACGATCTTTTAATAATTTAAATGGAACCATTGGATATTTAGCAACAAATGATTCATAAAGAATGAAAATTGGGAATAATACAAACCCTAAAACTAATGGACCAATAATTTTACCAGTTTTCCATTTTGATTGAATACCACCAGCAAGTGTTAAAGGAACTAATAAACAACCAATTGAAATTGTGAAAATTAAAACACCCATAATATCAACTCTCCAATATAATTCTCTTAAAAAGCTAACTAAACCATGTGATTGATAGAAAGTTTTCTGTTGTTTTATAGCTTTCCATTCTGCAGTTTTACCAGCTTTCCATCTCATATGAACAATACATCCAACAAATGGTAAAGCTGATAATGGGAAAATAAAAGCCCACATACCAATCCCCCATGACCAATGTTTAATTGGACCAACTGCACTTGTAACATTACCTGAAATCCAAGTATTAATAATAAAAGGTAAAGCTGGAACAAATGAATAAAATAATCTCCATCTTAATGAAGAAAAATCTGATAAAATAAATAACACAACAATTAGCACACCAACATAACCCAAGTTATAAAAAACTGCACCTGCACAATAATTTTGAATATTAAAAGCTTGTGATTGAATAATTGTACCAATAACATAAAAAAAAATTGCCACAATTAAAAGTTCTAAACGACCAAAAATATCAGATAATCTAGCATAAGCAATTTGTGAAGCTGCACCAATAACTGCATTAATAACACCAATTGTAGCAATCATTGAATGTTCACCATATGAAGAAGTTGCATAACCTGTATAAACTGAACGAATTTGTGAATCTAAACCATAACCATAACCAATTAAAAATGCACTAAATAATAATAAAATTCTATACCAAATTGTATTATATTGTTGAGCTAAAATTTCAGTTTTTTTCAATGCAATTGATTTAGTTAAAGCATAATCATCAATTGCTTTTGAATCAACACCATCTAAACTATCATTACCTTTTAATCCTGATGATTGATTTTCTTCATCTGATAATCTATTTGCATTAGCATCATTTAATTCATAAACATTATCAGTTGTTGAACCTTGACGGCCAACTTTTTCAGTTCCACTTGACATGATTCTTCAAATCAATTGAATTGTATGAACCTAGGAGACTAAACAACTGTATGAGTGTGTATAAACTTGTTGTTAAATTAGTATGTTGCTAATTTACTTTCATTTATACTCATGGGGTATTCAGAAGAGGTGTTAAATTTTTTTTTTTCTATCATGCTAAATAGACTAATTTATGATCATCGTTTCTTTTCAAATTGTCTGGATGTTCTTTATTAAAATATGCATTATGATCAGTGATGTTTTTAGCCTTTAAGCTTGTAGCTGGAAATGAAAGTGCCTTCTTCAAACTTCAACTCAATTGATAACTTTGACACAATTTTCAGCCTGATGGGAAAACATCAAGATTCAACACTTCTTGCCCCCCTGCAAAAACTTAGCACTTACCGTTTAAACGCACCTGTTGAACTAAAGCCTAATTATTTTCTTGAACTGCAGTGCATAAGAAACTTTTCTCAAGATAAATTTGAACAAGTTTTCAACAGGAATTTAATCAAAGATACTGTAAAATGGGCATCAATTTTGTCAATTCCATCTCGTGTATTTTTGCAGATCAAATGTAATGGATTTCCCAATCCGTCTAAATTTCCACAATCACCGTTCTGTACTTGTGCATATTTTGGAATTTGCACTTAAAAAATTCGTAGA